ACAGAATGACCGTGTCATATTTGTGGTACATATGAACCTTGCAGCTGTCATATAGTTATTTCTTGAAAATATTTTGGACCGAAATGTGTCCTTATCGAGACTCGTCCTTTGTACATTAATCAATGGTCACAAAGCAGTGAATTTTATTTTCATTTAAATTGAAGTAGACTCAAATGAAACAAGAAATATATCGAAAAAAAATGACAGTTTGTGTTTTGTTTCTTTTACAATGATGTGTTATTTCAATGTTCACTTTGAAATAGTTCGTATCTTTTGTGGCCTATGCACTAATTTTAGAGACAGTTTCGCTGGAATGCTATTGCAAATTTAGAAGAGTACAAAGAATCGGAAGTCCTTAACACGTTCCATCGATTTGTAATACTTTATGTGATCAGCAAAGTACAAGGTAATTAATGGTTGGGGCAATTAAGAATTGCACTTTGTTTTTATTCCACGCAACTAAAATCTGCGGATTAACTTACATTTTTTTCTTGTCTGCTATTTATCACGTTTAACATCAATAATAATGGCAGCCGTTGTGATATCGATGATTGCCTAAGAAAATGAAGAAGTAATCGGGCGAGGACCTCACAGTGCGTTCCGTGCGATAATAGTAGACGTTTGAGTTCACCAATAAATGTGTTTGTATGCGCTTTCTCTGTTTCTTTCCTTTTTCCTTTCTTTCTTTAGTTTTAATAAGGTAATAATAATATTGACTAGAGTTTTAAGTAAAAGTAAAGTCTATCAACAAAACGTTTGAATTTGAAATAAATGGCAACTTGATATACTTTGATCAATGGAAAGTTTATTTTGAAACATAGAAAATGCTATTCTACGAGTACTTGTCATGTCATGCTGAGATTATGACTGATTTTGAGAGATGATATTTATCATAAAGAGAGTCTTGCACGAGGTTATATCTATGATCGATAGCATACATTTTTCTTGTCAAATGAGTAGACAAATACTGTTGATTTTACTCTTAGTGCCAATCAACGCTCTTTGGTGTATCTTTTCCCCTTTATCAATAAGTAAAGATGCTTATTCTATTCAACTAAAAGAAGTGTTTGACCTTCAAAACAAATGTCATACGATATTTGTAGTATATTGATCTATATATTTGCAAGTTTCTAGATTTCGTTTTTTATGATTCATATTTTTAAATATGCATACCAGTATTCGTTCCGATCGAATAATTTTAAAGGATTTATTTATTAATTTTATTGCCATCAATGTTTCCTACACTCACAGAATACTTTATTTTTCTTTCTTGTGCTTTTCCTAAGTGACAGAATTGACAGTTAGGAAAAATGGTATTTTTCCACCAAGACGTATGTAAAAAAAAAGATATTTTTCTGAGAAAAGAAACAGACAGAACAGGAAATGTAAATAGGTCGTTTGATAGTTAAGATATTTTTCGATAGCAATATAGAATTCAGTGGTCTATATATCTCCATTCGTCTCCTTTTGAAGGCGAAATTCGATTGCACATGGTTTTTCTTGCGTACGTAGAAGGATAAAAAAAGAGTATCATTTCCATAGAAATTCAATTTAATAAATAATCGTGAACTTCTCTAAGCAAGGATTCTTTTTCTTTTTGCGGTAAAAATATTTATCTTGTCGTATCTCTATATTAGAGAAAAAACGAGATCAAAGTAAGTTACTCAAAAACTAGGATAATCGTTTTCTTGTTAACGTAAGATTTTGAAACTTGTTTTATGTCTAATTCAGGAAAAGCTATTCTCGTTTTTATTCAAGCTTTCAGCGTTAATACGTAGATTTCGAAAGTTTCTGTGAACGATTAAAATGTTATTTCTCTACCATTCATCATTCAGGAAAGTTCAACTTCATTCAAGAAAATATTGAGCAGAGTTCGCTTAGAACACAATTTGGCACCGTTTTAGCTAGTGTTCTCACGCATTGAACATTCAGAATCGACACAATATAAACAAGAACCTTTTCCCCAATTTAACAAATTCGCATATCGTATAGTATATGCATTAAAATTATTTGTCTCGAAAATCTTTGACAATACGTTTACTTATCTATCAATTATATAATTAAGTTCTTGTTTTTTTCTCTTATGCGTGATATTTGAAAAGGTGTCTTGTATTCATCCATAGAAAACTACTTTATAGACAGTTGAACAAAATTGTGATATGAGACCAACTATATTTGGGACGATTTAAAATCTCTTTGGCTAGAAAATCAACTTTCGAGACTTGAAAAAAGTATTCTTTGATATATACCTTTATTCAAGAGAATTCCATAAACAAATAGCCATTAGCTTTTAACTACTCTTATCTACTCTATTCGCAATGCAAAGTTGAGAAGTAATTCGAGCGCTCGGTTGAATTGAACAAAAGTTAGCCTGCATGTTGTTTATATTGCTTAGGGGAACCGGTAATTTAAGCACGGGAAAAATCAGCACGGATAGATCAGCACGGAATAATCAGCACGTAAAAGTTCAGCACAAGGATTGATAAGCACAAGATCAATTCAGCACAGGAAGAATAAGCACATTTATTCATCAGCANCAACACATTTAAAAAGATGAAATCAACTATTTTTATATTGAAAATGACTCCACTGTATTGAGTAGAAAGCTCTAGTAGAAATTCATTATTTATTTTATTATACAAGAACTAGATAAACAACTACAAATTGAAGTCGAAATAATTTTTCGTTTTAAATTCCGAATTATTCTTATTTTTCTTATTATTTGAAAAAATCCTATGATTAAAATTTATTAGTATCTAATTTTGGTGCTGATGAATAAATGTGCTTATTCTTCCTGTGCTGAATTGATCTTGTGCTTATCAATCATTGTGCTGAATTATTACGTGCTGATTATTCCGTGCTGATCTATCCGTGCTGACTTTTCCTGTGCTTAACTTTCACCAATCCATGTCGTTTATATTGCTTAGTATGAAATGAAATGTTGAGAAATATTTTCTGTACAATATATGCACAAAGTATAATAAAATGTACTTATCACAGTTTTTCTGATTAGTTCTATTTTTATTCTTTTTCTCAACTGGTATTGAACGGTTGAGATTCACCGATATATTTGAATAATTTAATAACTAACTCTATCCAAGCATGTCATGAGTTTCTTACCATATTTTGTTCGATAAACGAAATATCGATTGTCGAATGAACTTGAATCGGAAATGAAACGTAAAACGAAATAGTTCTAATAAAGACAATTGTAAATTCATTTTGTTGTTATTTAGTAAAACTGGTTTAGAATTATTTATTTGAAAATTAAAAAACGAGGAAATTTATAGAAAGTCACATTATAACTATATAATACAATTGTCTCGAATAAAATTCACTGAAATATGTGTATGATGTGGATTTGTTGAACTTCATCAAGGTTAGCATAGGAATAGATTTAAGAAATTTTCTATTAGATACAACTAATCATTTGCCCTTGACCAAACTTTACCATTATTGTTCAGACTGGATAGTTTAAAGATTGTGTATAGTTGATCAAATGATTACTTTATTTGCAACTGTGTATTTTATTTTCAGAAGAAGCACTAGACTGTAAAAGTTCGAAAGGAATAACAAAACAATCGGTTCAGGGCCGAATGAGTTTGTCGCTCTAGATTAATGTATTGTTTATTGTAATGATTTCAGAAGTAGTCGGTTGTAATAATTATTAAATCGAAATTTGATGAAAACTAAATGATTATAGAAGAGAAAATTTTCCAATATATGTATGTCAGAGAATGAAGAGAATTCAAGTAAAGTTAAAATATTCAGGTTCATCATGATGAATCTTAAATTAATGGTATCATGTTTTTTAAATCAAACATGATTAATTTAGCTTTCAGTTGGATGTAGATTCATTCACAACGAGAAATACATATAAATATTTGAATTAGTATTCAAAATATTTTTTGAACAGAGTTCGATCAAATGCTTTCTTGAAATCAACAAAAAAATGGAATTTCTTAATGAATTTGCCCACATGTTCAAGATTATCTGCTCGGCTATACGTAGCCTCTATGTAACAAATCGATGAAACACATCCAACTGACAACATGACTATTACAATAAAAGATTGAATCTAAATCAAATCTGAGATCAAGATCCACGAGATCTCTGTTAAGAGAAACAATACATGTCTCATCAGCCAAAATTGAACCAAGATGAATCTCGTTAGAAAAACAACATATGATTCTCAAAAGAAAAGTTGTTTCTAGAACATATTTCAAAATAAAACTTGATTAAGGCTCACGAAAAGTAAATATTTGTCAAAAACGGGGAGCACTAATACTGCAACTGTCTTGTCATAAATATGACGAACTTCTAAAAGAGTATTAGTGCAATGGCATTACACTTCAGTCATTTTTCTTCATGTACAATCTTATTGTTTACATCAAAAGAATACGTTGGTGGTATACGCAACTAGAAGAGAGAGAGAGAGAAGAAAAGAAGAATCAAAGAGAATAAGATAGCTCATTATAGCTACCTAGTTACCATAGGAAAGCAAGGTTAAAAATTATGCATGAATAGTCAATTCAATTCAGTGATGAGAGCAGACAATGGCATCCGATGGATTCAACCAGGAACGTCACAATTATCTTGAGCTATATTCACATTGCAAATAAGCCACCATTCTAATCTTGAAGGACTGAATCAATAACATTTTTCTATATCATTCTATATTACAAAAAAGGCATAAACTTCTGTGATCTTTTTAATTAGCAGTAGTTTATGAGCTTAATAAATGTAACTGAAAAAAAGAAGAATGAAATCTAGAAATATCATTGACAAACAAACCAATACTTCTATTTCTATACCGAGGGCAAAAACCAGAGAAAAATATATAAAAAGCAACTAATAAAAATTAGTTTTGAAATAGCTGAGAAGAAATTATATAGAAAAAAATAATAATGAACATCGTAGGTGATATTATTAGTATTTTTTATCAAATAAAAACAGAGACAATGTCGATGTTGACTTCTTTTCTTTTCAATGAATTCGAGATATTCACTACACACTAGTTTTTCTTCTGATTGTTTTTTTTTCGTAAGTATGCATCAAACAAATTCTTTTTTTTTCTGTTGTTGCTCGGCGTCATTCATCTACTAATGGCACTTTGACCCGCGTCTTATTGAATCTGCCTTAATTTTTGTTTCCACGGTTCGCTTTTGATAATCTTAGATTAATAGAAGGATTTTTATTTTTTGTAGAAAAATTAGAAAAATGGTGCCCGCTAAACAAAATTCAATGCATCGCATCATTTTAGCATCATTGATACATATAATAACAATCACTTGAATAAAAAAAACGAGTGTTTTATTCTTCTATTTATTGTAGACAAACTACTCATCTGAGAGAAAAAATAAATGCAAATTACTTAGAATAGCTACTAATTTATGCGAAAGAGAAGCGTCATTCCAAAAAAACATCATTGAAGGAAACTTTAAAAAATAGAATATTAAAAAAAATTTGATCAGCATAATTCCATTAAAAAAAAACTGCTCAGAAATCTTTTATGCTTTGACGAAAAAATAGTATGACACCTTATAGATGTAAAGGTATGCGATGACATCTCGTCTTATGTTGTTTTAATAATTCTTATTCTTATGGTAGCTTTTCTTTTCTTTGCTTTTTTCTCTCTACCTGTTTCTCAGATCCTTTTCTATACATGCGCCTTCCTTGGTAATCGCACTGCGCATTATATCCGATTCGATTCGATTTTTAAATAAGAAAACACAAGCACACTTTTTTCTCCTCATTATTCTAATACAAATTATGACTGCTTTTTGTTCTCTGATAGACGATGACATGAAACAATGAAAATTCATCAACATGTATATATATTTAAGAATAAGAATAATGAAAAAAAATTTTTTGTTCATGTAACTTGTCGTTGTATTCAGAATAAGAATAAAGCACAGGTAAATCATTATTATATCGAATAAAAGTATTACTTTGTTTTATTTTTATTCGGCATTCATTTTATGTAGATAAAAAGTTATGCTATTGAACAGTAGAATGAGTTCTGTTTCGGAATCATCTCCCTATTCCGTATCGAATATGAAAGATATTGATCAGTTTTTAAAAAGGCAAGCTAAATGCCTTTTGTCTCCATTCCAATCGTATCCAACAAATTCACAATACTTTAATATGCGTATTAGCCAACGAGTTCAACATTATCGATCTATGAAAAGAAAATGGAAGGAACTAACAACATCGGTTCAAAATCATTCGTCTTTATTAGCAACGCCTCAATCTCCGACATCTTTGCCAGATATTTCACCAATCACCGACGATACACTAAAAATTTTAACTACATCAACACAAAAACCGACCGTCGAAACAAAACCATATTGTATTAACGAATATATTAATGCAATAAAACTAGCGAAAGAAAATAATAACAAGAATTTGATTGATTTGGATCCATTACATCCACGAATTCAACAAGATTTGATTAAACTACGAAAATTCATCAAGGGAAAACAAGGGAAACATACTGATAATAATTCTCTTAAAACACTCACAAGTAGTCCATCCTTAAGAGAACGGGTGAGTTTGATGAATACCAACAACTTATTATAAGTATAGGATTTTTAATTAATCAAAAATTTCGTCGTTGAATTATGAGTGCCTTAACAACTGCGTATTTCATTGCCATGAGGAAAAATTATGCTTTGTGCTCGTCCTGTTTGATTAAAGTAAATTTGTATCGAGGTAAAAATAAAGTCATCAGCATGATGGAAAATGGATTGAATGCAGTAAAATTTGTAGTTCACTGGTATTCATGTCTTGGTCTTTCAGTTTTTTCCTTTGAAACATTCCAAGCATCTTTATTTTTCCTAGGTTTTTCTTGAATTAGAAAACTATCCAAATTTTGGAAACTGTTGAAATGTTATCTTCCGAAACAGTGAGATTTGATGTAAATTACAATATTAATAATCCATGAGGGAAAAAAAATTTTAATGTTTATTGTATAGAATATGTCTAAAGGAAGACTTTAAAATAAAAATGTTATTTCTAACAATACTCATGAAAATGCTGATTCCTCATTATTCGATATACAAAATCATGACCCACATGTAAATCAATATTGTTCGTAAATATGAGGATAAATGTCATGATAGCTTGTCTCAGCCATTTGAAGCATGTTAAAAATGAATCTTTCATATAGACACGATATGCTACATGTGTAAATATATAGTATTCAGAATAAATATCATTCATGAAATCTAATTCATATCCAATAACACTAATTATTGCATTTTTTTCATCGTAATTATGTAACTCACTTTAATATTTTCTCTCTTTAATAACTCTGTTGTCTTTATTACACTCAGTTTCTAGATATTATTTAATTGAGCGTCGTGTTCCTGTAAGTAATAATATGAAAAAAAGAACATTATTCACTCGTTTTTCCAGATGTTCAATATCATTATAGAGCTACTTTTCAGTTATGCTTCAACGAGTAAATCTCAATAGCCAACCTATTCATTTCTCTTGGCTTCGAGATATCGATTTCGATCGATATTTCAATATATATATATATATGTATAAAATATTGAATCATTCTTTAAATAAATATATAAGAAAAATTTTACGTCGCCTATTTCTATTTAAAGTCAATATATTGAATAAGAAAAATAATTAACTATTTTTCGCAGATATATTCACAGAAAAAAGGCAGAAAAAGAAATCTATCAATTTATTTATTTATTTTGTCTTTGATGATAGATGTTGATGGGCACAACACTAGATGATCAGGAAAATAACGATATCACGAAAATTAGAAGACCATTGTCATCATATAAACTCAAACCACTTGATCACGTTAAAATATTTGGTTCTCATCTGCATCCTTCCACATGTTCAAAAGCTGATTCCACTGACAGCGGAATTGGCAGCAATACTAATTCATCAAGTACTTGTTCTCAATATTCAAAAGTACAGCAGCAACTGCAGCAACAGCAACAGCAGCAACAGCAACAGCAACAGCAACAACAACAGCAACAGCAACAGCAAAAGATGAAGCCCAGAAATAGAAATAAAAAATTCAACACTCATCCTCATCGATTCAATCTTCCGGCTTCTCTTGTTCCTTCTGAATCCCTTACTTATCGTGCTTCAGAGTTAGCAATGAAAAAATCGAGAGCATCATTTAAAGCAACTCAAAATACATTCTCAAAACAATCGCTATCCAGTTGTCTGCCAGAATCTATACCACAAGTACCACTTGAATTAACAGAAAAGCAGTCTACTCCTATTAAACAAGCAAGTTCATTGCTACCTATTCGACAAGTATCTGAGAGTGAAGAAATAGAAATGCGTCGTTATACCTATGCAGCATCAACTACGTCAACAACTTCACGTTTAATGAGGACTAAACGTAATATATCACTTTTATCAATTATTTTAGAGTCAACTCCTTGTATTGGAATGCAAGCACGAGAAGTTCGATCGAAGAAAAATGAATATGATTTAGAAGAGACGCAAGCAGAAAATAATCATGATAATGATGTTAATGATGGCGACGACGACGATGATGATGATGATGACGATTACGATGATGGTTATTATCATCTACTTGGTTATAAACATTTGATAAATCATCTGCCCAAACCAGTTGTATCTATCCGATCCTGTTATGGGCAAGATGATTTTGGGATTTTATACGAACAATTAGATCATATTCGAGAGACAATGCCTAATTCGAATATTTATAATGACTACGCACGAATTGTTTAATCATATGTTTTTTATTCGAAATCGACACTGGTTTAAACGAAACAAGACACTGAATTGTCCTTATATTTCCTATGAATCTCATAGAAATGAACTTATATCTCTATTTTTACTTTTCTTGTTCTACGAAAAAATCATGTTAGCCTTTAACATGATATTTAAATAGTGTATGAGTGTTGGGAATTGACTTAGTATTGGCTTTCAGAAAAAAATTTCATTTTTTTTTGTAATGCATGAATAACTAAAGTTTTCGATAAATATTCGAAATTTACTTAGCAAATTAAATTTGATTGATGATTATATATCAACTAGTTTGACGCGTACATTGATCAGTTACTTTATTTCGTTTAGAATTCAATCAAAAAAATCATCCATCCGATTCCTATTGATGTGTTTGTATAGAGTTCAAATCATAAATATGATGTTTTTCAATTTTATTTTCTATAAATAATTCAAACATTAGTTATTAAAGTCCTTGATCATTATTCTACATTCATTTCTGATTCATATATATATGCTGAGATAACAAAGCAGCTTTATGGACGTAAAATAGATAGAAAAAAGATAGAAACATTCAAGAAAATTGACAAATTCTTTCTTTTTTTATAATTACTTTCGTAAAATTTATGGCCAGTCATTTTCGTAGGCAAATTCGATTGAACGACTTAAATCACAAGAAAATATTGAGAGCCACAAATTTGCGTGGAGTAATTTTTTCAATGTAACTTTGATAAAAATAAGATTTTGCCACCTTATCACTCTCTCCGTCTCTCCTAATTTTTTCTCTTTCATCAAATTTATTCACTAGTTAGAAATAACATTGATCAGAATATCGACTTGCTGAATCGAAATTACTACTTCTGAGTTTAAATATAATGTTTTCCTAGTTGACCATAACAACTAGCCGCTGAAATTATAAGGTAAAAAAAATTGAGCACTCGAACAATATATATATATATATACATATATACAAATCATAAACTGAAATTTATGTGTCTCTAATGTTTTTGAATAAAACCAACTAAAACTGTAGAAAAAATATTTTCATATGAAAATATTTGTTGCCGAATTAATTTTGCACAACAGCATTTCAATCGAATAACATCCGTGTTTTTCTTCAAATGTTCAATTATTTTAATGTGTAACAAAGGCATTGATCGCAATGGAGTTTGTTCCTTATTATTAATGTAATCCAAATGAGCATCAGCATTATTCAAAAGATTGACCATTTTAAGTACATTAGTCGTTGGAATATTTTTAGCAAGATGATGCAATGGAGTATTGCCATCTGAGGCGGATACATTCGCATTAGCACCACAACCAAAAAGTAGACGAGTTGTCATCCAACATGGATAACTATAACAGAATACTTTTTGTTGAGGGCTACTTGAAAAAAGAAAACGATAATTCATTCTTACTCCTTCGAAAATGAAATTCTCTCTGTGGAAGCGTTCGTACATAAGTGTAGCAGTGATGAACCAGTTTCTATGGTCTTATATTGATGACTGATGATAGATGCAATAGAATTATAAAAATCTCGATAATTATTAAGAGATAATTCTTGTTTTTCATCTAAATATTCACTATGACTTATTCGAGCCACTATTGTAACTAAATCAAGTAAAATAATCAAGTTAGCATCAAATTTTTCTCTATAATAGCCTGACATAAGTACATGATTCGTTATCTTGAACATTTAAAGTAAATCTTCGATAGGCCTGGTCAATTTATTGTTAAATTTCATTTTCGCAAACAAAGAAATGAAATGATTTAAAAAATCACTCTAAAAAGCCATGTTATACTTGTTTTTTAGATCAAATTCATAAAGCCAGCAGCGAAAACATTCATGCTTCTTATGTTCATGAACTAAAGTAGCTCCATAATGATGAATGACATGATGATAATCACTATGATCATTGCCAAGAATACGTTGATGAATAAGTAATGATTAAATACGCAAAGCATCTTTTTTATTAGAATAAATAAGTTGATTTAATTGTTCAAGAGTTTCACATTCACGTCGATCTTGTAATAATGCATTATTTGTTAGAAAAGCCTCAAAACTAAACAAGAATAAAACCATTTTGCAAATAACAACCTATCCAAACATTTATCTGTTCCAGTTTCAGTCTATCAAGGTCTACCCACTTTCAACCTAGGGTAGGCTTGAGCCTCGCGGGCCTAATAGCTCCGCCGCCTATGTACCTGAACGAGTACCCTTTTTCGATAGCTTAAATATGAGTTATTACTAGATGCATCCGTTGATTTTATGCTTTTATATGCAAGGAATATGAGGTATTTAATGTAAAAATATGTCTTCATCGATAATTATTTTGTAGTGAATGTGAAATAGATCAATTGTTACTAAAACTACCTAATATTACCAATTGTCTGTATCAGCGAACAAACTCTCCTAAGCTTTCATTCTATGGAATCAAACCATTTCAATCATATATGTTTTAAAATGGTGATCGACAAATTCAAATAGTACAAATCTATTCTACTATCTAGAATTTTTGCCGATGTAAGTCGTCATTTTTTCCCGCATAGTCTGCTCTACAATCACGATACTCATTTAACGGCTAAACAATGAATTGACCTGCATTCATGTTTTGCTCATCCGGCTACTATTAATCTAGAGAAAAAAATAGTTCAGATCAAGCTGTTCAATTACAAGTTTACAGACTGTGAAACATATAACTATTTAAAACGTTGATTTTATATTACGGTTGTTTTTCTTATATGTTTTTAGAATGTTTTGAGTGATATCTGTGTCTATTATAGTGTACTTAAATGAATATTCACTGAGAAAGAAAAAAAATAATGATGATGAATAATTACTGGGAGTATCCAGTAAAGCAAAGATGATTAACAACCGCCCTTCCTCCAATAAACATAAAGTATGTGTTGATTCAATCCGTGATGACACATTTTCTATACGAACGAATGTGTATGTTGACAATCGGCTCACCCGCATGCATCCCTATCTCTCTTATACAAATATAAACACATTCATTTAATCAATTCTTTCCTCGTCTATCACCCATAGGTGAATGATCGTATATGCGATGATGCAATGACTGTTATAGTCACTATATTTTCTTTGATTTTTTTTCATTTCATTTATGTAATATCATTATCATCGGAATGCAAATCAACTTCAACATTTTGGACTTATTATCCTTGTTCATTTATGATTTCCTCACCATTATTTTATTGTCAACAGGCATCGACTATTTTGCCAATTGATGAATGTTTAAATAGAGAAATAACAATTTTCTGGCATTTTCCATCTGGTAACATGACGATCACAATGAAATCAGATAAAAATCAACCATTCCTATTACATTTACTTAAAATGTCATCTTTAAAAAAAAAATTAATTAAAAATATTTATCACCTCGTAAATAATAAAACTACGGAAGAGAAAATAATCAATGTTGATGATGATCAAGTTATTAATATTCCTTCGGATGAATATAATCAATGTTCAATTAAATTCGAAACATCAAACCGGATTATTTTTGATTATGGTACATTAATACGAATGACTATTTCGACTAGTAACAATTACATTTCTTAGAATTTTGAAACAACTTCTCTTTTTTCTTTCTTCGTTATTGTTATTATAGGAACAGTATGAAAATAAATTCTTCTATTAAAAAATTTCTTTCAGAATTCAAGAATCTATCAAAATTGTTGTGAATGCATATGATATTATTTCATATTTTAACAGGATTAAACAATGCCATTGATTTGAGATGAAGAAAAATGTGTTGAAAATATTTCCAGCTGACCTCAAGAAATATGCTTCAACTTTCTTTATTCTTTTAATTCATGGTTAGCTGTTAATATCATTCTTCACTAAATCATCGTGTGCAATATTAAAAATTTAATATTCATAGAACTCACAGGCGTGTCTTACTGTTTTCTTTTTCATTGCAAAACTTTGCTTATTCTTTAGTATTCTAAAAAAATATATATTTAATTAAACAAAATGAAATTTAGTCATAGTAGATAGCCCAATGTTATATCAGCCAAAGGTAGTTTTTCTAGGTGAGTGAATAAAATTAGTATGAAAGATTCTGATCAGCGTTACAAATGCTCTAGATTTTTAAGAACAATTATGGAATAATCAAGTTTTTTTTGCAATGATTTTTGGTTTCTGAAGTTTCTCCGATTTCAGATACTTTTTGTTGTGATCCTTTTCGATTATCCCTGAGTATTCGTAAAAACTTATGAATGATTCAAAGGAAATTCAGTTTTTTCTTCTAGTCGCCAGTTAAAATTGTAAATGGAATAGTATCGGAAGTTGCAAATGCAATGGAAAAAAATGACCTATTTTTGTCTTATGAACTGTTATTTTCAAGTCAAAAATCACTTTAAAAATGTGATACCAATCTAATAACGTAGACAATGAGATACCGAATTTACTCCAGTGTTCTTTTTCATTACAGTGTTGAATATTAATTAGTTGATAACATTGAAATAAGTGAATACAAGCAAATTGTCAACTACCCACTGGTAAAATCAAAAAAAGCCAAATATTTCAAGTGCAAAACATCCGCTCAATTTTGAATTAAGTTTAATATTAGGATAAAATCATGTGTAGATCTTTGATGGTGCATTACCTTTATTCAATGAAATCAGCTGTTTCGCTAGATAGCAACTTATCAAAGCATGGATAATTTCCTCAGCCACACAACTTGTAGCTATTACACTCTTTTGCTAGTGAAACAAAAATGAATTTTTCATATTTGTTGTACTTTATTTAACAAATATATTTTATACGTTTTTCTTTTTACTATTAGCCAATTTATTTTACTTAAAAACATCCTTTAAGATGTAACTGTCTAGGATATTTGTGCCTATTTATATATTTCTAGAAATGATATCATGAAAATTTATTCTGAAATTCTTTTAATAAAAATGTCTTTGACATAGTGATACATACTTTTTTTAAATATAAGTACTCTTGGTTGTGATCGTGCCACAATCGTTGGGAAATTCTCTCCTGGAGTAGTAAAGTATCAATTATTCTAATTTACGATTTCAATCATCGCAATATGACCATACTTCTGATATATATATATATATCTATATTCTATCCCAAGTGAGAAATATTGTACCTTTACACTTTGGACTGACGAGTTAAACTAGTTAGGATCCTTAAAAGTACGTTAAAATGCGTGTAGTGTGAAGTGTCATGTGTCCTCTTATGTTCTTCGCTGTGATGATAAAATGAAAGAAAAAGGGCTAAAACAACTATCATGATTTTATAATCTATTACAAACAGATAACAAGTCCCAGTGACTGGCATCCAATCCGTTGAAAACGATAGGTACATAATTTATAGCATCAAAAAGACTAATGAATTTTTTTATTCTATTCACCTAGTAAATATATCGTTTCAAGTTTTTATTATATTGATCCGTGGACTGGTGAACGGTGAATAAGCGTTCGTTTCTAAAACTTAGGCAATGCAACACACTTAATGCATTATATTATACACACGCGTTCTGCGTATAAAATCTGACTTAAATATAACGCATTTTCAATTTTATGGTTAGAAAAAATACATATATTGGGTTTTTATTTTTTTTTTTGTATAAAAGAGTCATCATGGTTGAGGTTACGCCAATCGCAACGTGTCTTGAAGAAGGATAAGGATAAGCTATCAGAAAGAATATCAATGTGTGTGACAGTTTCATTCTTTTTCACATCGTGGAATTTTTTCGCGAGTTTAATATAAGTCTCTACGGATAATCTTCGATTTAATTTTTATACTATAACTTTTCAAACAATTAAATTTTGATTATTCTCTCATCGAAAAAAAAACAATTTACCAACACCAACAAGAGATGTGTTCACTGAAAAGATGCTGTAATCTACAATTTTTTGAGATTGAACACCAAGTTCGTTTCTATAACTTTGCGTCAAATTATAACGTTGTGAAACAAGAGATAAATAGAAAAAAATTAGATCGGGTTTCAAATGAAATAAAAATACTGTTATTGATTATGAATATTTTTTTAATTATGTATAAATTAAAAAGGAAGGAAGGTTGGCTGGTAAAAAGCCAACGACAGCACCACCATGAGCTACTAGATTAGGAGACTTCTCAAATATAGAGATTCATCTAAAGATGATAAAGCACAAGGATTACCTGCATAAACAGTACTCATTACATGTATCGCTACCATGCTAAGCCTTCTCAGTGAATAATACAAAATTAGTGACATCTATATTATGTTTTTATCATTAAACCCAAAATCCTTTTGGATATTTCTTGGCTGGCGATTTTTAGTTGGAAATAAATTAGAATCTTAATTCGTAGTGCGTGTGTATGTAGTAAGTGTAGCCAGTGTTTCCAATAGCAGGTGTACACAGCAGAAGCAAAATGTACAGAACATCTACTAGTTCTGATGTACACTCTGATTTACACTTTGCTCAGAAAAACAAAGTGTACAGTGTACATCTTACTAAAAGAATTTACCCTGTGATTCTAACGGGTGTCCCATAAAGAATGACCTTCGCAATGTTTCCTCGATAACGTTTTCATTTTTTATTTTCTAGGCTCCAATTTGTTTCCAAAAGATCTACTATTTAATTCTACATAAGACGTATATGAAAAGCTTTTCTGAAGAATGTTGAACAAAAAAAGAAAACAATAATATTGAACACGTACACAAGAATCAACTTTTAGATTTGTGAGAGTTTAGCTGTTTTAAACTGCCGTTTCGGAGATTTAAAAAAAAGAGGCGTGAATGAGTCAAAATAGCATCTTTTGGGTTCAGATTTTCCTTATTTCGACAAACAGCGATTATTGTATCAGATACAGAGACAAAAGTTAATCTAAACGTACTTCTGTTCCTTCGGTGAAAAATAGTGAGTTTCGGGCATTTTGAATCCTATTATAGAAAGTCAGATTTATTATTCTAGGATATGATTCAAACCAACGTTGCGCTGCAGGACAAGAAAGAGCCGACTTGAATGTGCTCAAAAGCCTCTTGACTTTGGTTTTCTTTATTCTAGTATTGTAAAAAAATCTTCTGAAGTTTATTTTGAAAATAGGTTTGAATGTTAGTTATTTTCTACTTGTTCAGTATTATTGTTTTACTTTTCTGGTCAACCTTCTTCAGAAAAACTTTTGATACAAGTCTAGTGTAGAATTGGAAGGTGGATCGTTAGGACAAAAGCTGAAGCCAGAAAGCTGAAAAAAATAAAGAATCTGTTGAGGGAATACTGAGAAGGCCATTCTTTATGGGACGCACGTTAAAATCCGCAAAACTCTCTACATCACTTTTCCATCATCATGAAGACGAAAATAATTCATATTTTTAGAATATACTATTTGAAAAAAATACATTTTAACTTTTTGTTTTTGTAAACCTTTTTCTTGTAATTTTGCCAAGGAACGTGTCAGATTATGAGATAGAACGTCTATGTATCATTTATTCATTTATCAAGTATTACTTTATATTTTTTGTGAGAAAAACACAGCATTAGTTTGGGCTTTTTGGATTTTAAAAATTTGCTTTTGGTACACTTTGTACACTCTGGCACTAAAAGCAAAGTGTACAAATACACTTTGTATATATAATCGAAGTGTACATGTACATTTTGTTCTAGATTTCCATTGGAAACACTGAGTGTAGCTAAGAAACAAATGTATGATACGACACCAATCCGTTACACCAGACCAGGCCACAGATCATATATATGTATTGGTAGTACATAGGCATTCTAAAATGTGTTTATATTTTGAAAAAATTAATGTGAGTAACCATTTGAAGAAGCTCCGAATAAATTTATATGAAGTATATTAATCATCACTGTTACAAGAGGTGCAAAATCTAGACTAGTAGAATTATGGGAAAAGAAAACATGAATTATTCGCGTTTGGAATCATCATTTACTGTAGACATCGCTATTTCGTTTATTTCGAATTTTGACATTTTTTTGTGGTAAAATGTATTGTTCGACGTTTTTCTCTTTTTATATTTTTTTCGACATTTTTCCTTTCAACCTTTCTACGGCACACCAAAACAAATGATTGAAAAAGTGAAAAATCGCTTAAAACGCAAGAAAAAGGTTTCTTCTCGAATATATTGGCCCATGAACTTAGTATTTCACGAACTAGTGTTCGCCGAATACTAAGAGATGATCTACAATATCATGCATATAAAATGCGAGTCATACCATTGCTTATAGATGAACATAAGGCCAAAAGAAAAAGATTTTAGAATTGGATCAGAACATATTTCAAAAAGGAAACAACAATGAAAATATTGTTTTCCGACGAAAAGATGTTCGACATTTATGGGATGTACAACTCACAAAACGATCGTATATGGACAGTCAATCGTCAGGAAGCAGATAAAGCAGGTGGTAGGAAGCAAAAGCGAAAGTTTTCAGATAAGATTATGGTTTGGTTAGGTGTTTGCTCAAAAGGTGTTTTCCCCGTTGGTAATTATGTTCTACCTGTGGCTTTAAAGTATGGGAACACCCCATACCAATATTCTAACACAGCAATGGTGCCAAGAACATTTTCCAACGTTCATCGATAAAGATCATTGGCCCCCAAATAGTCCTGATTTAAATCCCCTAGATTACTGCATATGGGATGAGTTTGTGGGCCACATAAACTGGAACAATGTAAAATCAAAAGTAACTTTGATTCGTGAACTAAAACGTGCTGTGAAAAAGATTAGGTTGCAAGTAGTGTTTGAAAGTTGTAACAAGTGGACTAACCGATTGTATCGTTTAAAAGAAAATGATTTTGACTATTTAGATTAATAAAAACATCTCGTTTTGTAGACTATGACATAGTGAATTTAATGGAAAACACATTAGGTGGATCGGTCGAAAAACCGCTGAGTAATAATAAATGTTAAAAATACTTATTTAATCTGGCCCACCCGATATTTCTTACCAAACTAGAGTTACGATGTATTTTCTGGCTTCCACGAGAATCGAAATAACTTCATGATCGTATTAGATATCGAGGTCGGAGTAGTTTTAGATTTTGTTTGGCCTATGATCCTGACGGTCCTAGAGGGGTAATAGAGCTGGAAAAAGATCAATGTAAAACGAAAAAGAAAAAAAAGGTTTTTAAAAGAACTGAACAACTAAATGATCCGTGGACTGGTGAACAGTGAATAAGCGTTCGTTTCTAAAACTTAGGCAATGCAACACACTTCTGCATTATATTATACACACGCGTTCTGCGTATTGGGTTTACCTTTTTTCTTTGTATAAAAGAGTCATCATGGTTGAGGTTACGCCAATCGCAACGTGTCTTGAAGAAAGATAAACTATCAGAAAGAATATCAATGTGTGTGTGACAGTTTCGTTCTTTTTCACATCGTTGAATTTTTTCGCGAGTTTAATATAAATCTCTACGGATAATCTTCGATTTAATTTTTATACTATAACTTTTCAAACAATTAAATTTTGATTATTCTCTCATCGAAAAAAAACAGTTTACCAACACCAACAAGAGATGTGTTCACTGAAAAGATGTTGTAATCTACAATTTTTTGAGATTGAACACCAAGTTCGTTTCTATAACTTTGCGTCAAATTATAACGTTGTGAAACAAGAGATAAATAGAAAAAAATTAGATCGGGTTTCAAATGAAATAAAAATACTGTTATTGATTATGAATATTTTTTTAATTATGTATAAATTAAAAAGGAAGGAAGGTTGGCTGGTAAAAAGCCAACGACAGCACCACCATGAGCTACTAGATTAGGAGACTTCTCAAATATAGAGATTCATCTAAAGATGATAAAGCACAAGGATTACCTGCATAAACAGTACTCATTACATGTATCGCTACCATGCTAAGCCTTCTCAGTGAATAATACAAAATTAGTGACATCTATATTATGTTTTTATCATTAAACCCAAAATCCTTTTGCATATTTCTTAGTTGGCGATTTTTAGTTGGAAATAAATTAGAATCTTAATTCGTAGTGCGTGTGTATGTAGTAAGTGTAGTGTAGCTAAGAAACAAATGTATGATACGACACCAATCCGTTACACCAGACCAGACCACAGATCATATATATGTATTGGTAGTACATAGGCATTCTAAAATGTGTTTATATTTTGAAAAAATTAATGTGAGTAACCATTTGAAGAAGCTCCGAATCGCTCGTTAAAATTTTTTCCCGTGTGCGCAAATAGTCCACAGATAAAGCATAGGAGTTAGCATATACATATATGTTATCATTTGAAAAGAAGCAAAAATTGTACTTAAAAAAACTTGTTTAGAGATGCTGTAAAAACAAAAATAAAAGATAACAATCGCTTCTTCAAAAATTCAGATTTTAAATGTTTTACCATGTAAACATATCGATTGTTGTGCAACGGTTAATTACATCATAAACTCAACATAAAAAAGCAGTTGAAAAAACGTATATTATTATATCAGTTTATAGTACGTCATTTATGTACTTGCACATTTTTTTAACTGCCATCCTAAAAACTGCTGTGTCATCAGTATTCACGCGCATTTTTTTCTATTTCTCTTCTTTTTTTGCATTGTTTTTTCATCAAGGTATATATATATATATATACATACTAGTGTGTGCGTGTGCTTCTTTACTGATCATTCAGCTTTAGAGTATTTGTCTAAATATTAAATTCATGTCTTCAATTAAAATCAACATTTTTTTCACTGGTGCAACTGGTTATATCGGAGGAAGTATTTTAAATGAACTACTTAAACATCCAAATGCTTCAAACTTTAATATTACTGCTCTTATTCGTGGTGATGATGAAAGAATAAAGAAATTAACATCACACAATATTACACCTTTAATTGGTTCGAATGATTCGTTTGATATAATTGAAAAAGCTGCAAGTGAATCCCATATAGTTATTCATACTTCGAACTCAGCTGACGATCTTCCATCAACTAAAGCTATCATATCTGGTTTAAACAAACGAACTAAAGAAACAGGAAAATCAGCTATATATATTCATACAAGTGGTACAGGTGTTCTTACAGAAGATGTTCGTGGAAAAGCTGGCTCTGACACTGTCTATTCTGATCTTAATCCTGATCAAATCAACGGTCTTGCTGATGAACAACCTCATCGTGAAATCGATCTCTTCATTATTAATTCAGCAGATGCAAATCCTCTTTTAAAAACTGTTATCGTTCTTCCTCCTCTCATTTATGGTATTGGTGCCGGTCTATTTAATCGTACTTCTGTACAACTTCCATGTCTTATTCGAGCAGCCTTGAAAAGACATAAAACTGAAATGATTGGACAAGGTCAAGCAACATGGAACAACGTTCACGTTGCTGATTTAAGTGATGCTTATATTATTTTATTTAATCAATTGCTTGCTGCATATGGTCCTGATGCCAAAGCCGACGCAGAACCCACTCCATATCTAACAACAGGACGAGAAGGTTATTATTTTGCTGAGAATGGAAAACATTCTTGGCAACAACTCTCAGAAAAAATTGGTGAAGTTTTATACAAGAAAGGGATTGTTAAGTCACCTGAGGTTACAAGTTTTCCAGATGATGAAGTAGAAAGTAGTCTCTGGGGCAAATATAGTTGGTATATATTGGGTAGTCAATCAAATTCAAAAGCTGAACGAATTAGAAAATTAGGATGGAAACCACATCGACAAAATATTTTCGATAGTGTTGAAGAACAAGTCGATGCCTTAACTAATAATATCAAAGATTGAACTTGATTAAAAACTATGTTTCTGTCATTGACCTGTGGAGCGCTTTTATTTAGTTTTTTTTTTATTATAATTCCATCTTTCATAATTAAGATCGATATCGTAACACTGATATTCGAAAACAAAACAAAAAGAGTTACACTCTCATGAATGGAAACTTAACTTCTTGAAGATCCTTCAGAAAATAAACAACCTAAAAAAAGAAGAACAAATATTGTTACTTCGTATCCTTGATATCACTAACCAATACGTACTTTTGTTCGTATTGTAACTTTAATATAGGAATGAATGTCAAGTTAATTTTTTTATGACACAACAAGTAAAAAATGCATGATTTCGATGAACAAAAACAAATAAAGAATAGTCATCTATCAAATGAACGTGACTATATAGCTATATTTATATAAATTCTGTAAGACATCAGAACATAAGAAGAAATAAGAGCACAATAGGAATGGTTATGTAGAAAAAGCAAACTAACGGCAAAGACAAAGCGTCAAAATAAATTTTCATTACATCAAAATGTCAAGTTCATCAAGAAGTATGGTTCTCATCAAATACTACATATTAGTCACAAGTGCTTCCTGTATCCTGTCTATTTCCTATATATACTATTACATTAAGCGTCGCTTATGATGCAATATTACGATGTTAAAAGAAAGACATGACTTTCCTCTTTCGTCAGAGAGGGAAAAAAACTATGAACTATCAAAGATGAAAATAAAGATACGAAATTCTGACATGTAATAAATACCATTGATTGGTTTGCCTTGGTGTTAACTTTGTATCAATCGAAGTTTACTCTATGCATGAATATTTCATGATCAGAAATGTTTTATATACTTGTTTTAACACTAATTTTTACTTCAAAATTAACAATAAGTTTTTGTTCCAGAGTCTGAATTCTGATCAATATCGGATTAAGTTAACACTCCTATTGAATCGATGCATTAGTAGTCGATATTTTAGATTGCACAGATCATTGGAGTGGATATATTATCTTTTTTCACCACTAAGAGAACTTTCGTTAAGAAACTCGATAGGTAGATTATATCAGCGAATCATTTATTGTTCCGCGAAAACACACACTAGAGAGAAAAGATCTATTGGCCTCCATATTTATAGATCACTACAATATCTCTGTTCAAATCAATTTAAATCAAAAAGAAAGAACCAATTGATACTATCAAATAATAATACATGGCCCAAGTGCAATATAATTCTAAAGTAAATGATGTTGATATTGAAGAATCTATCGATCAATCTTCTCCGATACCACTCATGTCTATTGTTATTCGTCCAACTGAATATCCTTGTACGTCATCTTCATCATATCAAACATCAATTAATGAAATGATATGTTCATATCGAACAACAAATGTATCAACATCCGATGATAATATTTTATTAGCATCAAATTTTATAAATCAAATTGATATTTCAAAATTTCATTTTGCTCATGTAATTAAAGTTCCACACGGTACAAATCTTCTTGCATCCGATAATCAATCAACAACAGTATGTATTAATTCTATTGAAAACATAATTCATTTCATTACACCGACTGGTTATCATATTCGATCGTCAAGATGGCCTGAAACGGAAGACAAGATTACAGATTTACTTTGGTAATTAATCATAAAAGTATTCTTTTTCATTCTTATGCATTGTGTTCAATTAGGTGTGAAATATTACAAATTTATCTTGTTGCAACATCAAGAAAACTTTATACGCTTAAATATGATTCAAATCATTCAATTTTAGTCGAAAAATCACTTGATTTTTCTAATGATTATTCTTCATTAAAGATTTCCATTGTTTGTAATTCTTATCGTCTTTATACTCATGATCAATCAACAAAACTAATCGATGTTTATAATCTTCAGTTTGTTCATCTACAAAGAAAACAATTACCCGATTGTATTGTTAGTAATCAAGTAGAAGGATTGTCTTGTTCCGATTCGTGTCTTGTTTTACATTACAAACAAGTTTCAAACAAATTTATTGTATTAGATCCAATAAAAATGATGATTGTATATGAATTTGACTTATCTTATAAGATTATTTCATCTTTACGATGTTTTAATAATGAAAATACATTAGTATTTATTGGTAGTAGACAAGATGATGAAAATCGTCTAGTCTTTTTAAATTTTAGAAATCAAAATAACGAAAGTAAGATACAACCCGTCATTGTTGAAAAACCTATTGAAAAAGATGAACAATCTGTTTATCTATTGCCGAACAGTCGAGATATTATGATATTTAATGCAAGTGCTTTTCGTGTACAATATTTGAAATATCGTTCTTAATATAGATGTTTGTTTCGTATGTTACTTTTTCTTCTTTGCTTACTAGAATGTTATGATCATTGAAAGATATTTTCTGTTTTTCTTTTCTTCAAAAAAAAAAACTAGTTGAATCAAGAATATGAAGAATCTAACTAGTGACTGTTTGTTTGTTAAAAATATAAACATATGTATGGATTTAATGAACTAATAGGCTTTGAAATGCTTATCTTTGTTTTTAGATATCTATTGATTAATCTTCGTGCATTAATGATGGAGAATCAGTAAGTATTTCTTGGTATAATTCTAGCAGTTAGTTCTTTTTTTTGATTGAAATTTAAAAGGCTTTCTGATATGATTCAATCATTGTCCATTTCATCGAATGAATGTCGAATACATGCTCGAAAACAACTTGACTTATGGTTAGATTCATCGCTAACTTTACTTCGAGAGGCATATAATGAAAAATTTAATGAAATCGATCAATTGTTTGATATTCTTACTAAAGATTTAGAAGTTTACAAACAACGACAATTGATGACAATCGTAGAACAAAAAACTGATCCATTGAATCAGGAAATAGAAGTATTACAAAAACAACTACCAACACTTATTCAAGTTTGATACGATTATTTTCAATCTTATGAATTCTTAATCGTTTGATTTAGGTTAAAAATATTCCAGGTTCCGTTTCAAATCTTGAAATATGTCGATCAACTAATATCATTGATAGACCTACTGAATTTTCCATACTTCGTCATGCATTATCACGAAAAGAACCTGTACAATCGTATCGTTATTCATCAACGTGTCGTGCCATGGGGTGTGATTCGAAACAAGACATTATTCTTCTCTATGATAAGGATGAACTCATTCTATACAATGTTAATGGTACTTTGGTGAGAAAATTTTCGCAGTTTTTTTTCATTTTCATTTTATTTTGTTTTAATACTTTATACGAATTCAGGGCGGAAGTATTTCATGGCCTACAATAGAAGATGGTTTTGTATCAGATATTACTTGGTGTTCAATACTGGATAGTTTTCTCGTTTTGGGTCGTATGGCTCTTTCATCGTTCAATACACATTTATATACGTGTACTCGTATTCCACAAGTTCGTGGAAGTCAATCACATCATCTTATTGCTTTAGCTTATGTAGAAAACGATAAAAGTGTTTTTATTTGTTGTCATCATCCACAAGATACTATTCGACAATATGGTACACTACCAGAATGGAATCTACAAAGAACTTGGTCAAAAAACAATTTAATTAATCAAGATGATGTCGGTAATACATACTTGATAATATCTTAATCTAACCTACAGTTATTCGTATGTAATATTAGGTATTCGATGTATTCGTGTAAATTCATCCAATACACAACTTGGTCTTGTCATTAAAAATAAGAATGATCAGTTTCGTGTAGGTCTTTATTCCATGGATTTAACACATTTATTTGCCACCATTCCAATTAATACAACATCGTCCTCATTAAAAGGAGGTCGGAGTATTGACTTTATGCTTTATTTAACACCATTTATTGATGATCATTTATGGTTAGTTATTTATGGCAATGGAATTCACGAACACTCTCTTCTACTCATTAATAGTGAAACAGAAAAATCAGAAACTATTATTGATGATTCTATACTGAATGCATCCATGTTAGATGAACAATATTTAATAGTTCGAATGAAACAATCAATGTCGATTTATGATATTCAATAATGAAACAGTATTGATTTTGTTTTTAGTACTTTGTTTTCGATTGAATAAAATGAAATTGTATTTGAAAGAAAAACTAAATAAAAAAAAGGAAAACTTATCAAATAATCATTAATAGTTACCATGGCAAATAAAATATTAAAAACAAACTGTGATGATCGATTTGACAATGTTACAAGTAAGGATGAACCAGTTTATAAATCAGTTAGTTTTTCTTGATAACATGGTTATCCTGTCAAATATTTGTTTAGTTTTCTTTTTCACTTGGCTATTCAGAATATAAGAAAATATTCTATTATTCAACCAAGACAAGGATAATGTCAAAGTAGTCTTCTGTATTAGATAGACAACAAGAAATATATTATCAAATTTCAAACTTATATCCTAATGATTTATTTTGTTTGATTGAATATACTATCATTCTCAAAAACATTGTATTTCATTTTTATGCATTCATTTTATTTTCCTGTTTTCAAACTTGATATTTGAGATAAAGTTCTTTTTAGACGATATATGCGTCACTAAACTTTGTTACTCCATTAAATGTATATGGACCACATCCAATCTCATAGATACACATCACTGGACAATGATCAGACACTGAATATCCTCCTGTACAAAGTAAATTTCTAAGTACATTGGCTAAAATCGGACGTGCATAATTGTTGTGCATTATCCAATCTAATGTAGAGTCACTAAGAATATCTTCACTCGGTAAACTAGGACGTTGCGGATAAGTTGAAAGTAAAGGTAATCTTAAAGTACTAAAACAATCCATAAAGCCAGCTTCGTATAAAATGCGTCGCGGATGAAAACTTTCATTTAAATCTCCCATGAATAATACAACTAAATCAGGATCATTAAATTTCAATTGTAAATCATGTAAAATTGTTGTAGTACGCTGTGCTTGTTGTTTGCGTAGATTAACATTCGTTTTAAGTTCTTCTGTATGGCCTTCCCATGTGAAATGAGCGGTTGCCACAAGAATCTTTCGGGTGCTAGTTGTATTCAATTGTTTATTTTCTTCCCTAGTTTCTTCAGATGTTTTTATTTCTAAAAGTACCCAAAAAAGGCGACTCAAAGATTCCATCATACCGATATCACTGAAACCGAATTCTACCATGTTAAATACATTAGAATTCCAATAGATATTACTTTCATATTGCCAACCACCAAAGTCATCTTTAACATATTCATGAGATGGCAAAGCTTTGATAATGACATCATGAAACAATGGATGCAATTCTTGTACACAAAGTATATCAGGTGTAAACGTGGTTAAACATTCAAAAATAGGTTGTTGACGTTGTGGCCAATTAGCAGGATAATTTCCTAGTTTCCACATGTTGAAGGTCATTACTGATATACGAGGCATACTCATAGTCGTATCTTCAATTGCGAAACAAATAAAAATCTAGAAATTGACGTCTCAAATGAAATGAAAAATATTTAATTAAAAATATCAATCAACTCATTTGTTTTGAAACAAAAACGAAACTATAAATAAATTATCGGCAGTTTACTGTAATAACAACACCTATTTGCCTCGTGTATATGTCGTATCAATATTGTGAGAATATAAATGTATGGCCATGGAAAAATAAAAAAGGAGAAACAGAGACTAATAAATAGCTATTAGCTGATAGATACTCGTGGATTTGTTTTAACTGTCCAAATATTAATATTGATAAAAAGAACGAATATAAATATAACAGATGTTTTTCTTTGTAATTTACTGCCATTTTTCACATGGGTATTTTAATCCAATCAATAATAATGTTATCAATACAATAAAATAGAAAAGAACGTTATTTCACTTATGCAGATCAAGAGTGTTTTTTTTTATGAAGAATCTATCATTGAAGAAGCAAAACAACCTTTGATAAATCATTCATCTAAACAATCATACGAGATACTTAAAAAAAACTATTGTAGAATTTCAGTTCGAATAAAAGCAACGTATATTGCCATGTATGATATGAACGAACGCTTTTTTTTCATACATGTGTTTAATTCATTTTTCGTGAAAATGAAACTATAGTAATCGGTGTATTTCGATAAAACATTGTTTTCTTGACTAAAACTTTATTGTTCTTATTTCTATCTATTCATTGATCGATATATTTCTTTTAATCTAATTATATAACAGTTGAAAAAAAATTACAAAAACACACGGATACTATTCTATTTTATGCTTGACGTATTTGAGCGATTTTTAGTTTAAGCTCATCTATTTCTTGTTGTAAACAATCAACTTCAATCGTTTGAGGAATTTTCGAACGAAGAATAGCTTTAAATTGTTCAAGCGGTGATGAGTACGATGAAGAATATGATACATTGAGTTGTGCTACGCAATCTGTTAATGCATCAATAGAACCTGACATTTCCAAATAGACTTGAAAAGCTTGTAAACGATTAAATAATTCTGTTGATAATGATAATGAAGGTGACGATGACGATGACGATGATGTTCGATCTAATAACGAATCTGATACAGAATCAATGATTGGTGAATTCGGCGGTATTGATGACATATTTATAGTATATAGAAATATAACCTAAATAGCCGTCACTTAGTTTTAGGTTCTTCTTACGAGTAACTGCATTAATCAGTCACAAATGCTTGCTCTGTTCGCGCCCCCTCCTCACCGTCAATATTTTCATTAACTTATTCACTAAGAAGAACAGTATTTATAAGAACATTAAAAAACAAATATTAATTTCATTTTTTTAAATAGTTTTCAATACAAGAAGCTATTTTTTTGCAAGCAGTAGTAACAAAGCGCGCCCTCTATTGCCTCAACAAAAATCGGTTGTTCCAGTTCCAGTCAGAATTTATTACAGTACATCATGACAGCTTAACTAAAAAAAGTGTGAATAAAATAATTAATTAGTTAGATAAGAATAACGAAAATTATATTTCGTCATTTTAATCCTTTCGAACTACTTTATATATTTTCATGGCTGTTTCTAATTTCGAATAATGGAACACAGTTGAGAGGACCTTATTTTACATTGTTACACGAAAAACTGTATTACCACTTTAAAGTAAAAATATGCTTAGTTCTTACGTTATTTCTTTTTTTTCGGCTTTTTTAGGTAACAGAAAGATAATGCTTTTTTATTATTCATTTTTGATTTATTGAATTTTTAGGAAACATTCAACTATGAAATGAACAAATTTCAGATGTAGTACTAAAGAATGGTTCAGACGATGACTGTATTCTTTTTGTAAAATCTTCGATCTTATTTATTGTACGAAAACGATGATCCAAAAAACGATTGCAACTTGTAGTGGTAATATATAAATAGTCTCCTAGTGGTTTAAATTTGGGTTTAATGGCATTGAGTGTCAATTATTTACGCTTACTTACCGAATCAGAAAAATCTTCAATACGTTTTTATGCTAAACGTGTTTTACCATCACGAAAACGTGGCAATTTCTGATTATGTTCAATTGTTTTAGCTAATCTCTTAGCGAATTTGGTAGGAACAGTTTTACACTCGATTCGCTAGTTCATGGTTTATTTGCTGTCATTGGCTCGACAATCATGATTGTACGAATGGGTGAAATTATTCCACTAGCTATATGCTCTCGTTACGGATTAGTTATTGGCGCGCGCATACATCTTATAACTTGGGCTGCGATTATTATAACAGGGATTATTTCATATCCACTAGGTTTTATTCGTAATTAAATTTTTGGTCAAGACGTAACAGTTTCTTATAATCGTGATCAATTACATCGAATGCTGACAAAAATGAATGCAGATATTGAAAAACCTGAACTTGATGTTATTACAGGTAACATAAAAAAAAAGATATTGTTTTATTCTGTAAATAAGATTTTCTCAAGTCTGGACAAATCTTTAACACTTTAAATAAAATGTTATTCAAATGAATAATGATATCAAAATATATCGGTCTGATTCTTTTTCTAAATCAAACCTCGTTTTTTATCTAATGCTTTACTTAAAACGTTGGATTTGTAACTGTTTGATGAATTTTACTTAGAGTTTTAGAAAAAATGAGCAAATTAGAAGAAAGAAAATCATTCGATTGAACTCTTTTGAAATCAAAACTTCTATAGAACCAATGAATTTCTTTGAGGACGACAAAATGATATAAAAATTAGATAGCGTCGATATAATGTTTTATATTTTAGGCGTACTTCCATTGCGATAGAAAAGTGTGAATGAAGCGATGACTATGTTACCAGATGTTTACATGCTTGATAAAGATCGTATAATGGACGCTGAATTATTACTTGATGTGCATAAGCATGGTTTTTCACGTATTCTTGTTTACTCGAAATAAAGGTGTTCCTATAATTTATTTAGTCTAACTAAATAATATATATATATATTGTTGCTTTTCTATAGATCAAATGTGATTAGTACTGTTAAATTAAGAGATTTTGCTTTGATTACACCAGAACAGTATGATTTAATAGTAAAACATGTTCTAGAGTTTCATAGTTGTATGTAAAATTTTACTGATAAATTTTTATTCCCTTGAAACACAATTAGATCCGTTTGATCGTACAAAAACAATCGATTCATTATATATCACGGTCGGCATAATAACACGTGAAGATGCTTTTGAAGAGATGTTACAAAGAGAAATGATAAAAGACACAAATCTCTTTAGTAAATTTCATTTTTAGATTCTTAAGAATATTGAAATGTATTGTTTGTTGTATATATTTTTCTTTGTTTTCAGCTGATAATCATCCTACGATTCAACGCAAACGTGCGAAAACCATGGATTTTACATCATTAGCGAAAAGACCTGTTAAAGGTTTTATTTTTTTAAATTCTATTAATTCAATCAATTTTTCGAGTTTAGGTTCTTCAATAAGTCTACAATTAAAAATAGCTGTATTTCAATTTTTAAGTACAAGTAAGTTTGTAGAATGATTCTTTTTGATATTAATCCTTTATATTCTAATTTTAATGATAGACTTTATTCTAATTGTAGTTGATAAAAATATTTTTAAATGGTGCGTAAACAATTCTTATAATTGATGTTTCTAGGTTTTTTCTGATTTTGTTCAGCATTTGTAAATATTTTTTGTTTCACTAAAAAGCGTTCTTTCTATTGTGATTAGTTAGATGTCCCATAATTTCCATCAGCTTTATATATATATCAAGAGATACTAAAAGTTATTCCTAATTATAATGTTTATGCAATCATTGAACAACAAACAAATCAATCAATGAATTTCTTATATTTATATAAAAAAAGGCTTTCGATGTGAACTATTTACATTAGCTACTCGAGGAACTGTAACGTTAGAATCAGACATTGAGCATATTATATCAACTGTTGGTCCATTTATTTCTTTTGCAGCAACGACACTTCTGAGTAAACGAGGAAGAAAAACAGTAATATTTCAAAAATAAAAGTTTAATTTGTTTATTTTTTTAAAGTGATAAACAAAATTTTAAAAGACATTCAAAAATTTCTCGAATGCCTATTTAAAATGAGAGCAAAATTAAATAACATGTAAGATATACTTGCTGAAATTTCTTCGGTATTTATTCCGGATTATAATTTGATTGTTAATAGCGAACTACATGTTTGACAAATTCATCGTCTTGTTTGGTTAGCAGCTATTCAAGCAATACAACAGCAAAGTAGTAGTGATCAGAGTAAAAAAATCGTATACAACCCGAGCAATTATTCTCAAATGCACTCGATGAAATCGTGAATGACAAAAAAAATCATTTATTTGCGAAAAAAAACTTTTTTCCTCTTATTTCTTTTTCAAGTCATCTTTGACAAATGTATCAATTACTAAACGTAATTTAACTAATTTTCAACATATATTTCTTAATGAAAAAGATATTTTACATCATACAAAATAAGCAGCAAAAGAAAATACAAATACTTATGATCCATCATCACCGTTCGCGTTTGAAAAACTTGATTCATCAGATATAGATGACCATGACAATTCAAATAAACAAGAGCAAACAAGTAGTCATGGTGATCATTCATCAGAAAAACATCAACCATCAATAGTAGCAATCGTTTGTAATCCAATTCTATTAAATCTTTCTAGCAATGAACAAAGTAGTAAAAATCGTCTTAATCAACAAAATTGCAATAGTTCAAGTACTTCATCTAATGTAAATGACGAAGTTACTAGTCCAACTATGGATATTGATCGAATGTTTGGTGATAAACATGATAAATATGAATATATATTTATGTGTATTTATTTTTCAGTTTTTTTCCTATTTAGCTTTACTATCAGCAAGATTCCATATGAAATAATGCAAAAATAAGAACTTTTTTCATAAAAAGAATTACATAAAAGAGATTCGTTTCTATTTGACGAGTAGAATCGACTGGTTTTGTTAGAAAAGCTAAAACTACCGTACATTATGCAAAAATTCGAATTCAGCGTTATTCAATAAATCTATAACAATGATATGTATATCTATTGGGCAATTTCGGTAAAATAACAAGATGATTGAGAGATATTGTTATGATTTGTCATTTATAATGATAAGATCTGTTATAATTTCAATTGGTAAAGGTGCATATATATATATATATCGAAGTCATCGATTGCAGCTGAGAGTCGATCTAGTTCAGTTTTTATATTCTTTAATAATGTAGAAAGTTTTCAATAGATACATAAATTGAAAAGATTTTCCGTCTTTTCCCTACAATTTCTTATTGTATTTTTCATAAACCTTTCTCATAATCTTTTTTAAAACATACTCAATAGATATTATCACATGATAGTTAATATGCCTAATAATAATAATATGTTAATAATTCATGTTATTTTAAAATAATAGTAAAAACTAGAATAAGAATAATTACAAATATTGCATTGAAATTTTCAAAATGGTAGGAAGTATTTTCATCTTTTGGTTACGTCTTTAATTTCTTTATTTATCAATGGATTTGCATATTCGTACACAAAAAAACAAGGTTATTTTGTTATTTCAATAACAATAATAGTCTTGATATTTTTGCTGTTGTTGTTATTGTTATTGTTAGTATTTTCATTGATATATTTAGGCAATCAATCATGATCATGATCGAGAAAAAAAGCATTCGACTGATCAAAGTGATTATGACAATGAACTATTGCAACGGCAAACAACATTTCCAATCAACTTATTTCCTACGCGATCGGAGACAAATATTACAATGAATTTTCTATCATCTGATCAAAACGAAATAAGAAATAATAATAACAGCAATGATCGTACTGATAGGCCTAGACGTGCATGTTCACTGTTTAGTGTAACAAAATGTTCACCCTCATACAAGGGAAACTGTTATATAGAAGAAACTGCGCTTGATAAATTTATACACTTGTACAGACGGTTTCTTTTTAGTATAACAGTTTAGTTCTTTTCCTCAAGAATCATTTCTCAAAAATACATGAATTTATTTTGTTTTCCGTTGTAAGTATATTGTCTAATGCTTTTCATTTGAAATTAAAAAAAAAGAAAAAACTAAATCACACGAAATTATTTTTTCGGTTTATATATTCACATATTTATTCGTTCATTCGATAGGTTCCAGGAAAAGAAACGACAAACAGATTGGAAATCAGATCGATAAGCCAAATACAGAGACGATAGCGTACATGGATTTGTTTTCCCAGCTAGAAGATAAAGAAAAAAAAGTTTTTATTTTAATTTTTTAATTTACACAAACGAAAATTGGTTCATATTTATCTTACCGAACGGTGCATGAACCATCAGTTGTATTGTCCCAAAAGCATGAACTTGCTGTATGTAAACCAGCTCCATTTTTTTGCATAATAACACATGATACAATATATTTAAACGGTTTATTCAATTTTGTTAATGAATTCAGAATAGCTTCAACAATATTCGATGTCCATGTATTAATTTTTGCTTGTTGATATGATTGTGATCCAATGGTTGCTTCAATGGATTCTTTAATTACGTTTGATACTTCATCAACGACGAAGCTTGTTTCAGCTGTATCATCCATTACTTGTTATAGATAATCGAAATTATTGTACAGTATTAGAGAAAAATCTATAAATAAAACAAAACTCAAAACTAGGCAAAGCAATATATCAACGTTTTTTTTTATGTTCTTATAAATACGTGTATTATTATTCTTCTCTAAATATCTAGAAATATGTTTGATAAAATCGAATGAAAATGCCTTTTATTCTCTCATTCTCTTTCTCACCTAATCAATAGATATGTCTCTATAGGGACCATGTTCACCATTTCTATGAGAATGACGGGTACATATGATTAAATGGACTGAATGAGTGGCAGAACGACGTGTGATGAATATACAATTATACATATATTCTTCTCCGTCAACATCCCACACACATACATGCAAATACGCACAAATACACATACAGACACATACATATACCGCAAGCTCTGGGCAAACAAGCAAAAGCAAGTATAAAGCAGCTATGAAAAGAGAAAAAAATCGAGAGAAAGTAAAAAAAAATGTGCGTGTGTATGCTTGAAACAGAATTCAAATATGTTTATATACGGTGACGACAATGGTTGCTGTTGCTGTTGTTTGAAGAAGAACGGATAGAGAGAAACAAAAGAGAAAACGGAGCATCGTGGCCGTGGTAACTCTATCGATGTTTATTCATTCTTTTTCTTTTAAAATGTTTTCTACTATTTCATATGTCGGTATGAATAAATGATTGTTAGAAACAAGAAAGATCGATTGGACGAATGTCGTAAATTTATTTTTCTTTCTTTCATCTTGAAATAACTAGAAAAGGAAAAAAAAACGAGATTTAAAGGTGAAAATGTTGACGAGAGATGATGAAATAGAACGAGTAGTACTGGCAACAACTAAAACATTATTCTTTGGCTTCTTCTCTTCTCTTTTACTTTTATGTTCTTTTCAAAAAGAAAAAAAAGAATAAATGTGTGTGCCGAGCGCATGATGACGGGAACAGATGTCGGGCTTGGCCTTTGGTAAAGAGTGCCTCTTATGATTCTGTTTTTCTTTTCTTTTTTTTTCTTCATAGGAAAAAACGTGATTTTAACATGAAACGTCGAAAGCATACAATCGTACAATAAATAAAAAAAAACTAAGAGCAAAATTTTCAATGGGAAATTATAAGAGAATTTAACATGATGAAACCTAGAAAAGAAATCATTTCCATAGAGAAATAAAATCACTTTTTGCATGAAAATATTTAAGAATTTGTATCTAAATTTGAAAAAAATCAATGATTCAAAAAAATTCATAGAAAGAAATGTCAAAGTCATAAACAAGTCACAAATTTTTGTATTCATTATATTAAAAATTCTTGCATTCTGGAAAAAAATAGTTTTTCATACATATACATATATACTCATGGCGATGATTGCAACTGCTCTTGTTGGCTTTCAAAATGATTTATTGCTATTTAATATAGTATAATCTGACTGAGTTAAATTATTGCATAATAAAGTTTCTAGGGAAAAAAACTTGCATATTAATAGTAACTGATGATCTCTTCTCTTATATGTATATTTTATTAAATTAGTACTACTAACTCTGTAGAACATAGTAAAACTCTCATGGCAAAACCGACATATTTTAAAATCGATGATTATCGAATATTCATTTATAATATATATATATATATTGTATATAAGATAATTTTCATATGACGAAACATGTTATTTAATTGGAATTGATAATATTATATTTCATTTGGTATCAAATTTGTTTTGCTTTATAACTATTTCGTGATTAAGAAATATATATGTATATACAGTACAATTTAATTGACAGTGTTCGTTGAGTACTATTTTCACGATGGCCCATTCAATTTGCAACGCTCAAAGTAAAAAAGTAGAATAAAGATAATCACCTTTGTTTTTTATTAAAAGACACGTGAGTGTATCGATGTGTATGACAATCAGACAAATTAGATTTGCATTTGTTTAGTTAAGATAATGGTCGGCGAATGATATGCTCTATTAGCTACTCGTCGAAAACATAAAAATAAATCTTTTCATACAGGATTCGAATGTAAAAATGACTTATTCATGAAATGAAATCGTAAACTATCAATCTTCATTTGACAGATGTCTCAGAATAGTAACGATAAAACAATCTAAGAAAATTCGAAACCTCCTCCGACTAGTTTTACTATACTTTCGTCGGTTATTTTGTTTATCTTTGGTCTATGGTCTATAGCCTAATCATCCTATCAGAATCTTGTTGTTTATATAAATTCAAACAGTATTTTCTATATTTCACAAAACATATAGTTGGTTAAATAGAATGAATGTATGCATCATATGAATGAAAATTAATGGAACACAAGGTCTTGATATTTGAACTAACAATGAAAGGAATTAAAATAAATATAAGTGACTTACGTTACTTAAGATTATTGTAATCAAAAAAAGAAGAAAAGGATGTATTATTCGAAAAGACTTGTTTCCTAATCTTCATATTTGTTAATTCGTACGAGTTTTAATTCAAATTCTGATGGATAAATGTTACATTTCTCTAATTGATAGAAAATATAGTTGAATATTAAGTACTATCTTTTTGCTTTGATTATTTTCTTTTATATCTTAATCAAGGCGCATACACCATAAATTTGTATCGCATATTCTCAAAAGACATAAAAATTAGTCACAAGAAACACGAGAAAGTCAGTAATTAGTAGAAATATGAACAAAGTACATTTTGAAATATGCATAAAAACTTATTAACATATGTATGTCGTCGTCGAAAACATGAAGACATCATCAAGTAAAAACAGTGAAGAAACATCGAACACATTAAATATCCATAGAAGTACGTATATATTCGTCATTGTATATACATAAACTCATTCGCGTATTTCTTATTGGAAGCACAAATATTTCTTCGCTTATTTTAGTAAACAATTGGGATACATGAATTTTCAATTATTCTTTATATCAGGATAGTGTCAAGAGAATCTATCTGATTGTCTGAATGCAAATTTTTTAGTATGACAATAGATTGCATATGATATAAAGCTCAAAGAAATCATAATTTTTCCTAACAATTGATTTCGGTACACTCAACAATGGATACTACCGGTATGAATTTTTTTATTTTTAAACCTTGTGATTTAGAAACAAATTTATTTGATTTGTCTACTGTTAACATGGAAACTAGAACTGTTTGTTTTTTTACTAAAATATTGATAGTTTATGAAAGCAGCAAGAATAAACTTCGAATGATTAGAAATTGAATTATAACTTTCAATAAAGTTAAGTCGATCAGTATTTTGATTACTTGCTAAAATTTATTTAAGCTTAAAAAATATAATCATTTTGATTTATTAAATATATTTGCTACCATAAGGTGAAATCTATACATTTCAAATTTTTCTTTTCTGCAAACAAAAATGAATATTTTCATCAAACGTTCTTTGAGCGTTTGCTTGTGACTTCATCTGGATGCTACATTTTCTTGTAATTGTAATTCGAGCATGAATAAACTTGTAAGTCAGTATATTGTTCATTTATTAGACGAATGCTTAAATTGAGATTGTACGCAGCTGAGAATAGTATTTGATAATTGAAATTATTCTAATTCTATTTTCTATTTTCTATGCACTATGCACTAAGTTAACAATCATCTTCAAAAAAGGATACAAAGAAATTCAGATAGCTAATGCTCTCTGTCACTTTAGTTACATATATTCTATCGGATACCAAATCCTTGAGTAAGATTATTTCTTTGTTCATTTTTACATGTCTAATACTAATTATATCAGCATGAATTTTATTCGGTTGTCTCTTCACTTTTCCTTGTTGGTATCTTGATGAAATGACTCCTGAAAGAAGAACGGAAACAAACCAAAACGGTAAGAGAGAATGTAGTACTATACTGTGAATATTAAGCATAGAAGAATTATCCTCTTATACAATGAAGATGAAGTGAAATATATTTTAGATAATTTAACAGTGATATTTGGATAATTTGAGACTGAGAATTAGTGTGAACGTACCTTATTGATAAGCATCGATATGATTGATAGTGAAAATTAGGTTCATTATGGATTGTAAACAAAATAGATCTAGATAAAACTGGCTGGTATGTAACGTTAACTGAAATCAAATATTCTAACTAGAAGTTTTGATAATTATAAATTCAGTTGATGGTTATAATAACTGTAACTTTAATTCGATTTTCTCGACTATAAAAATACGGAAAGTACAGTTTTGATTATGAAACTATATGTGTTAGACATACATCTATATATTATCATTAGAAATATTAATAATTTATTTATCTGTTTTCGTAGCACTTAGTATTAGGAAAATTCTCGATATTGCATTTCAAAAAATATATAGTTTTAGTTTCCTTTGATAAATAAATTTAAAACAAACGTAACTAGCTGATAACTACATGAAAAAAATCAATCAAAGAAAAAATTTAGACATGTTCATTTTCTCCAATGAAAAAATACATTAAAATCCATATTTTCAAAAATTTTCTCATGAGATATGTCGAATAAAGTAAAATGCTTATTTATTTCAACTGAACAATTAAATCATTTTCGAAAAACGAAACAAGTAAATATCGATTTAAAATACCTGATAGTCACAAATATGGCTTATGATAATCATTGAGAACTTCTATTTGGATTCATTCTGACTACACACTTTGCTTGTTATAGAGCTTAGAATTACTTGGCTTCTAATTTCATCTTAATAAACTTACAAAAAAACGAGATAATGTCTGATCGTTATCCATTCTTGAAAAATAGAAATTGAGATTTGATGATTGAAGGAACACGTTCCCATCTTTTTCTCTTGTTTCTAATAATCGAATTACGTGAGTGTAATTGAGCTAATTTGTTATTTGATCAATTGTATATAGAGGCCAGTGAAAATATTCCTGAACGTGAAGAGACAAGAACATCGTCAATCTTAACGGATACTAATAATAATACTAGTCGAAAACCAAGCATCACGGAGCAACTAGTTATATTAACAACATCGGCCTTGGCATTGCCTCCGTCATCGCCAACTGTTCCACGCGAGTTATGGACAAATAAGGTTGAATTTCTTCTATCGGTTATTGGCTATGTCGTCGATCTTGGTAAGAGAAATTAAAATAAATTTATTTATTCATTTAGTTTGACTTATAGGCAATGTCTGGCGATTTCCTTATGTATGCTATGAGAATGGTGGTGGTGCATTTCTTATTCCATATATGATATTTTTATGTCTTATTGGTATACCAATGATGTAAGTTCATCTCTTTTGTTCTTCTATTAAAACAAAAAAACAACAACAATGGTTATGTTTCAGGTATCTTGAATTATTTCTTGGTCAATTTTATCGTTGTGGTAATATAACACTTTGGGGTAGAATAGCTCCATCGATGAAAGGTATTGGTATAGCATCATTTCTCATTGTCACTGCTGTTACATTATTTTATACAACAATAATTGGTATTAATATGAGTCTCATTAATTGTGCAATAAATAAATTTTCTTTGTTTTCTTAGCACATGCTGTTTTTTATCTATTTTCATCGTTTCGTGAAGTATTGCCGTGGAGTTTATGTTCGCAATCATGGAATACACCTTCATGTTCAGAACGAATGCGTATTGGCAGTGTAAACAATCAAACTAATGAACAAATAAATTTCAATGGCAGAAACAATTCATTTTCTTTGAATGAAACACAAAAATATAATTCAATCATTGACTCAAAAGTTTCATCAGCTGATGAATTTTATAATAACTATATGTTAGGTATTAATCATTCAAAAGTTTCATCAGCTGATGAATTTTATAATAACTATATGTTAGGTATTAATCATTCAAAAGGTTTAACTGATTTGGGTAGTATTAAAATAGATTTACTTTTATGTTTAATATTAATATTTGTTCTTATGTATATGTGTATTTATCGTGGAGTTAAAAGTACAGGTAAAATAGAAGACGCAGTATTTTGCTTCACAACTAGTTTCTTTTATTTTAAATAATTTTTAGGGAAAGCTGTTTATATAACAGCTACATTACCATATATTGTATTAATAATATTACTTATACAAGGTCTAAATTTAGAAGGTTCACGGAATGGGATAACATACTTTTTAAAACCATCATTTAGTAAATTAAAAAATATGAAAGTTTGGTACTCAGCAGCCAATCAAATATTTTTTACACTTGGTCCTGGCCTATCTGTATTAACAACTTATGGTTCATATAATGTTTCAAGTAATAATTGCTATTATGATGCGTTAATTGCCGTTGTGGCCAATTTTGCTGCAAGTTTTCTTTCTGGCTTTGTTGTTTTTTCGGCATTAGGTCATATGTCATGGCGTTTACAAAAAAATGTCGAAAGTGTTGTGGATGAAGGACCAAGTTTATCATTTATTGCCTATCCAGAAATATTAGCAACATTTAAATATCCAGCACTTTTTTCTATATTATTCTTCTTAATGGTTATTAATTTAGGACTTGATAGTGATTTTGGTGGTTTAGAATCTATTTATACAGCACTGAGTGACGAATTTCCGTTATTAAAACGACATAGAAAATCCGGAATGTTTATTATGTGCTTTGTATTAATTATTGCTTGTTTGCCAACAGTCACTCAAGGTTAGTCGACATTAATAATCAACGGAAAAAATCTTATTTAAATTAATGTATTTTTATATTTTTCTAGGTGGTAACTATGTGGTACAATTTTTGGATAAATTTTCAACCGCTCCTGCACTCATGCTAGTAGTCATGATGGAGGCTATTGCTGCTACTTGGGTAAGAACACGATATGTCAAATTTAGAAGAAAAAAATCTTTATTACAATTTAAAAATTCTTTCTAGGTTTATGGTATCAATAATCTTGTGAACGATATTCGTACGAATCTTGGTTTTGAACCGAATCTTTTCTTTCGTCTTGCTTGGACAGTTATATGTCCAGTTATTGTCATAATGCTCATGGTCTTAGCATTATCTTACTCAGATGAATTGAAATATGGTAATTATATATTTCCATCATGGTCAATTATATTTGGTTGGTGTCTTAATATGTGCTTTATTTTACCAATTCCAATTGTCATGATATATGCCTTTTTTCGACATACCGATTCAAGAAATTCTTTCAAACAACGTATAAACGATTTATTTACACCGAATATAACCAAACAAAGGATGAAACAACAAATTGAGAAGGGTACTGACTTTACTATGTCGTCCTCAGCACCTATTTCACATGTTTGACTGTTGTTGTTTTTTCTCGTTCGTATATATTTAGATAGTTCTTATCAATAAATATAATTATATGTGTATGTGGTTTACTTTATTGGCTAGTTTTATGTTTTAATATTAAACGCAATATAGAAGACAAACATATATTTGTAAATTAGAGATACGCATATATAACATACATCATGAATTTACTGGTAACGTCTGAGACGAAGATACATTTTAACATTGTTCATCATTCAATTGCAATTCTGTTGTTAATAATGGCTTGTCAGAACGAGGTTTCTCCTGTTGTTTTTCTTCGGTTGGCTGTCGACGAGGAACGTTTGAATGGCAAAATAGAATATTCATCGCTGCGTTTCTAAAGTCACTTGATGTTAACCAATAAATTATAAATGAAGTAACATGACTAGTTGTTGCTAGGTTACTCAAAGTCATTGTAATTAAATCTCTATGTTGATTCACTTTTTTTCCAAAAAAAATATAGAATATGGCAGCAGGTGCAGTAAAAATAATGAAAAATATTGTAATTAATATCAATGCTTTTGTTAATCGACCGCCACCGCTTGACATTGAACGGCGACTAGGATTCTTTGATACACTAGCTTTTGACTTCAGTGTTCGACTACGAGATTCTCTAACCTGACGGACTATTGATATATTAGATAAAATCATCAATGTGAACGGAATGAAATTGTACAGTAATAGATGAGCAATTTCCCAAAATTGAAAAAATCTTGATTGATAACATTTTATTTCTACTGTAGTTTGATTATATTGATCGTTATGTAGAACACGCTTGCCATTAACAATCCATATTGGAAAATTAATTAAGCCTACAAAAATAATAGTACTCCAGATAACACGACGAATTATAATCGGTTTTGATAGCCAATTTTTTAATGGCCATTGATGATGTAATGAAACGTAGCGTGCAAATGTTGCTAATGTCTTAAGCCATGCAGCACATTCAAGAGAAAAATATGCTCCAAAGGAAATCAATTTACATATAAATAATGAATGTTGTTCTAAGTTTTTAATCGATATTGTCTTTTGATATTTCCATATTAGTTCTCGTATAAAATAATTTATATTCCATGTAAATGGTATCAGTAATTCAATAAGAGCTAAATGAGCAAAGACAATTATTGTTGGATTTGAACGATTAGGCACAAGACATTTAAAAATATAAAAGCAAAGAATATTTAATGGTGTGCCAATAAGAATAAGAATAAAAGAATATAAACCAGATAAAAAATGTGCAACCTCAATAAATGTCATTGTTGTATGGATTGTCTCTATTAAATAAGAAAAAAAAAGTGAGAAAACTTCATATAAGAAATTTGTTTCTATGTATTAGTCAGAATCATATTACATACATTTTGTTTTCCTTTAAGGTCAAATGCATTCCATTTATTTATTTTTATTTCTACTGATATGTGTTTACGTCCTATATATTACCCTACAAATATGATTATTTTTGCAAGAAGACCTACAGTGAATATTTTTAATGTCTTACTTATATATTATACTATACGATATTAACCCTCGTCGAAGTTTTCTCATGAGGACTGAACTGATAAATATATGCCTTTATTGTTCGATTACTCTTCACTAAGTAGATTACAATTTCTGCTTTAATTATATTCAAAGATTATTTTGATCAGAAAGAAAAATGTAATAATTTTATATACGAAATAACTAACATATCATGAAAGATATCAGGAAATTTTCCGTGAATAATCTAAATAAAAAATTGTTCTTTTTTACAATAGATAATACACATCATAATTGGCACGTTAGTTTACATTCATAATAATGTAGTATACAATGGTCTACCTTAGTTCTTTTCTATAATCGAAGAAAAATCGTTTAATTTAAATCTTCTAGATACTTGTGACAGGTCCAGTTCTTTGATGCTTTTCAATTTGTCGCTGTTAGTAGGCTTGCCTTGACGATACCAAGAAAAAACGGCAATGTAATAAATGGTTACATTTCCTTTTTTTCTCAACAATATGTCGTCAACACATTCCGATGGTTTCACTAGAGAGCGCTTTTTCCTTGTAATTTTTTCATTCTCTATGCATTTGTCGACAGCCCTAAGATATATGCATAGAGCTGGTAGACATAATCCAGAGAAACGCTGATAGACACCACAAGCGTTTTTGACATTTTCTAGCTTTTTAGTATTAACTGCCAACATCAATATCATGAGAAACCATGAAGATAGATGCCACCTGCTTCATTTTAAATAGCTATTATTATTTGTTATGAAAAACAAAATGTCGAATTTTCACAATCTAATTCATATGTGTGCAGATGTGTATATATACAATAATGTTTTATATGCATATTTAGTTTTTCCAAGAAAAATTATAGAAACAAGCAAATATTTGATTTTCTCTTTGAGAAAATCAATCAAGAAAACTAGACAGACATGCAGAGCCATAAAAGTACGAATAAATAAATCCTTTTTTATTGCCTTGACTGACACGCTGATTCTAAGCGAGTGAATTTAGCCATGATTTGTCTGTGTGATAACAAGCTAATAAACTACAAGAGACACTAGTAATCGAACAAACCAATATACGTTTTCTATTAGAATAACAAACGTTTTTCTTAGTGGCTGCTTTAGAATCTATTGATTGCAGGGCTGCCATTCCTTATTTTTCAAATGGAGTTTTTGAAAGTCCGAATGGGGTAGATTGTCTGTCTCCAAAAACAGAGGATTTAATTGAGAAAACCGATCAGATAAACACCACTATTAGAAATAGAAAAGTTTGATTTACATATAGAACAATGAGCAAAATATTTATTAATTCAACATTCTGTGAGAAACGCTGTATATTTAGGATCTTTTAATCATTTTTGGTTGAACATACAACGTTTATTTGACTTGGATGAACATTTCTTTTCTTTGATATTGGTAGGCGGCTTGTCTTGGAAACTGGGAAATTCTTCACTTGTTGTTGCTTCTGAATCATCAGAAATTTCAATTTCATAATCTTTGTTCTAATGCATTGCAAAAATTATCACTATGACCAATTACATTGAAGAGAAAGTCTAAAAATCGATTCATTTTTGAGGCAGTATGTATTAAATAGAAAAAAGTAATCACACGATGGGAAAGGATAAAAGGAAAAAATTAAATAAAATTAATTTCATTATTCATAGTGAAAATAGTGTGTAAAACCGAATAATTAAAGACGAAATTAAACAAAATGGGTGCTAATATCTATTGGTCAGTTATTTACCAACACATTTTATTATACACTTCTTTATGAAAATGAGAAAAGTCTAGAAGAAGAGAGGTTGTTTTCATTAGAAGATTGGGTAGTCGTACCGTAGACTTAAAAGTCTAAATGGGGTACACAATGGTAGAATGGGATATTGTACCCCAAAATGGAGTACAGTTAGCAGCCCTGATTGATTATGATATAGAATAGTAATGCAGCTGATGGAATAACATAATCATTATTTATAATATCTGTATATATTATCGCACAGCTATCGATCTTCTGGTAAAATTAACGAATATAATTTAATTATCATTTTAAACTCTACTGATAACAAATTGATATTTGATGTTTAGTAAAATAAAGCTTAAAGTATGCGCTACTTTCATAAAAAAAAACAAACGTGGCAGTAATACTCTGAACTGTTATCAACGAACAATATATTGTGAAAATAGTTAAATCTATAATTGCAAACAAAATGGCATAAATGAAATCACTTATAATTATTTCATATATTTTGATTGATATTTTCAATCATTTGAATTTTATTCTATATGTCACGTATTACGAAATGCGTAATAGATACTTGTGAATTCAAGGTCACTATCGATGTTTTATTTGACCGATAGAACCAATACTACTATAAAAAGACAAAGAAAGAAACGAGCGGAACGAGTAACTAACAATAAAAAAATCATACTACATCACACTATATATCGAAATGTTAACAATTGATGTTTGTTTATTTATTTGTATGACAAAAAGTTTGAGAAACATAACTAGGAGCTCATAGACAACTTAATGCCCATTTATAATATATATATAATAAGAAATTACTTTATCTGATTAACAGATATTTATTGCATGTCTTGAAATGAGTAAATAAAGTTCATCTTAATATTGAAATAGATTGAAGCTATTTACTTGATGATCATAATTTTAAAAATTCATTGTCATTTTGTTCGCATCATATCACAAGAAGTCTGTAGCAAAAATGTCTATAGATGCACTTTATTTGATTCAAACGTCAAGAATATACCAGATTTTATTTTATTTTATCTAATTAAATTTACTAAATTAAAATTAGCATTTGTTAGAGTGATGCTATTTATGGTTGAGATCTTCTATTTTTAATCTTGCAGAAGAAAACAAAAACTCTCATAAATTTAATCAAAAACCAATCATAGGATATTTGTAAGTACTCTTTCAACTAGTAAGAAGTCTGATAGTTATTGTTGACAGATGAAGACCGTGGACATACACCCGCCAATATGTTTATCTATTTAGATCGTTATCTGTAATTTCTGCTGTGATATTTCAGTTAATTGAAAGAAATGGTGAGAAGTTTAAGTGGTATAGCCGCTCATAGGCGTATCCCTGATTGGTTTCCTATTACGTCCCCCATCAACTGGTCCCCCGTTAATTGATTCCGAATTCGTCTCGTCTCTAAGCTCTTCCCCACTCCAAATTGATTCTCAATTATATTAATTGGCGCTTGATTTCAAGAAATATGAATTTCTAATGCAGTTATGGTAAAGGTGAAAGACAATTTTTATCATAAACTTAACAAGTGGATATAAACATTCTTTTTGCAACAATTAGAAAGAATTAAAAAACTGTCGAGCAATCACAGCATTATATCAGGTCAAAGAAAATGTACTCGTGCAATTTCGTGAACGACACTGCCATTCTACTTCTCTTTTCCGTTCACGTTTGACAGTATATTGAAAACCATCATAGTTCAACACCGTTCCTGTTTCGTTGCGTGGATGTGAAACTGAGCATATTTCAATATGTTTACAAATAAAAGATATCGATCAGTCAGCCATAGACGCTTAGCCATTACATGTATCTTTCTTGTAGGTTGCCGGATTATACCAAAAGAAATGAATCCGATTGTCACTGCCACTAGCTGTGCATATAGACAGAGCGAAGAGTGAACATTTCAATGTTAAATAGAGTGGGAACGAATCCGGAGTCGAAGTTTTAGGGACCAGTTCGGTTCAATTAAAAAGGGGACGGATGAAGACTAATCCCGCTCATAGACATGTGTATCAAAATGAGCAATCAAAAACAGAGAGATAAGCTAAAATTTATGAATCATCAATCTCGATATATCGAAAACTTACGAAATATTTACATAATTTATATATTCTTTGATTCTGTTTGATACAATCATTAGAATGCTCGGCTTACCCTGTAATGAATGTGTCAAGAAACTGAGACGTCCTCTAAATTGACTAACTATTTTGATTTACTTCTTATGAGTGGTCTTTTATGTACATCCACCATTATTTGGTTAATCTACCATTACATTATTGAATCATAACATTGAAGAAATGTCAACAATTCTAATAGATGCCTCGTATGATTTGTTTCCATTAGAACAGACAAAGAAAATGTGGCAACTAGAAGCACATTGATAATATCAAGTTTACAGAAGAGAAGAATCCTATTATAGGCAGACACGTATCAAATATAGAGTTGCAGATTGCTCTACTTTACAATATAGGCATAAGATTTTGTATTCAATTGAGAAAGTCAAAGCAACACGACAATCAAAAGAAGAATATGTTGATGCATAATTACGCTACAAATAACTTCATGTGATGTTTCATAACGATGTCGTACAATGTAAAAATTGTTCTCTGATCTGGTTTTTACTATTTTAGACAATTTTTTTAAGTTTCATGAAAGCTGTATTTAGTACTTTGAATCAAACACCTTTAGACATAACCAGCTCATGGAAAACAATTATTAGATTTGAATGAATTCTTAACTGTTTTGTCTATTTCTCATTTATGAATGCAATTTTATTTCGTTCCTTTTGGTTTTTGAATAAATCGAGAATTCATGTAATTAGAGACTTTTGATTACCGTTTTCCGAAAAACAGCAAAGCAAAAAAATCAATGTGCGTAAAAAGGATCTTTTGAACAAGATCAATGTTTGACATCTGACAATAATCTTGTCGTAAATGTCGAAATAACCTTTTCAATATTATATACTAAGGAATTGATGTAGACACATTGTCTATTGTATATCTGACATTTCATCGGCTATATGAAAAACGCTGATCTTCGGATACTTGCATTCTGGGGTTACTCAAAACTATAACAAAGTGCGCTATATTTGTAACGACATATGAATAATATTTGGTAACTGTACAAATCGTCGTATAGACAATGTGTCGCAGACTATTCGCCGAGTAGTTAATTGAATGTAACACAATTAATGTAGAGGTGGAAAGAGAAATTTATTCATAGAGAAGTCTAGTGAAAATCATATTTTAGCTAAATTTACCCTAGAAATATCAACTGTGATATCGAAAAATCATTTTCGCAAAAGCTTTTCTCCAGGTGAAGGAATTCTATCGAATCTTATGGAATCCGACAAGGCGACAAAATCCGATCAGATTCTTGAAAGATCTCACACATTAATACGATCTTTGAAGAATCTGATTGCTCGACCTGATCTAAGATCTCAGGGACTACGATTTTTTGTATAATTTTCGTATGATCGTGCAAGATCTAATCAAATCTTACAATATGATTGCTCAACCTGGGTGTCTTTACTTTATAGAATAAGTTTTTACTCAGGTCGAGCATTCCGGCCACTGGATCCCGTAGGATACTCCAGGAAATATGTGGGAAAGTCACCATATCCTGCAGGAAACACGGAAAATCGCTGGAACATGGAAGCAGTGTTCCTGTGCTTTCCGGCAGGAATTGATCGGGAAAATCCGAGAATTTTCCAACCGAAATACTGCTTCCACGAAATCAACGGAACTAACCGGAACCGACCGTTTCCAGGCCGAACTGTTCGACCTGGGTACTTAGTTTTCAAAATAATTGCTTTTTCTATTATTCAAAAACACTATTAGAATATTTCTTTTTTGCTTGGTGAGGATAACAGAGCTATAATTTTATACATTAATTGAAACACGGCTTTAGTTAAGACAATTAACAGTAAGACATGGTACAGTTCTAATCAATTACAGTACATTCGTGACGAATAGTCTGACAACAAATTGTCCATGCGACAAATTATCTGGCGACGAATTGTCGGTGCAACGAATTGTCTACGACGAACTCACCTAGCACCCTCTTATGATTATTTTCTTTAATCGCAATCATCATATAATTGCATATCGTTGTTTTCTTCAAAATAATCAAATACGAGCAAAATAAGCAGGTCCCTCCTTTTTTTAAATGTTTTTAAAGACATTATTCGTAAATACTTTTTTCGTAGTTGTTGTAAACATATCTGTGGCGAAATCAAAAGATATTGATAATTTTCTTGCTAAGTATTGCCAATCTATAGTTGTATGCTATCAAATTATAAGTTTTTTTCTTCGTTGTTTTTAATGAAAATCTCGATAACCTTTTCATTTACGATCTTGATAACTACTGTTATAGGAATCATCGGACAGTTCTTCTTTTGCAACTGAACATAGCATTCAACAGCTAAATTATATATATTAAGATAATATATGTTTATAGAAGCTTAATAATAAAAACAAAGAAAGAACAAGAAATAATTCTCGAGTGAATAGATTTAATATGACTTCATTAAGTTTTAGCTGATGATCAACACAACATCATCTACTTGCGGGAAAAACAATGCAGGCACACAAATAGAATACTGAATCAAAAGCAAGCCACAGATTTGCAAGTATGATGCCTTTTTACCAATGACCTTTTCTGTCTCAACATACTATCATAATACGACGGCAATGAAAAATCTATACCTTTGCTAGTTTTAATATCAATTTGAAATGATTACAGAAAGTTGATAGAAATAGCATTTACTATTAATAAATTGATCATACCGATGAGAAAATTATCAATTAAAGAAATAACCAATCCTTTTCAAGGTTGTTATCGAATGCTCTTATCATTACAAGGAAGTCATAAAATATGCGTGAGATTTAATCTTCTCTTTTAAGTCATCTTTTATTTTTAGATTGTTCAATGAACAAGAAGATTGATTTTCGACCGAAGTTAATAGACACCGGAAGAATAATAAATATTGAAATAAAATATGCTGATATATTTACGTTGTTTTCATTTATTTATTCAAATTTCAGTCTAATGCATTCATTATGAATGCATAAATCAATGTAAAATAAAAGCGCATGGGATATCTTATTTTGCTGTATTTTTATTTTAATTATATGACCAAAAAAATATGGTTCACTATGTGTTAATCATAAATGAACGAAAGCCTACAAAGTATTTGTTGTTTTAACCTCGCATAGCATGAAATGATTGTGGAGCATATCTTCTATTGAATAAACGATCTTGATACTGTCGATGGGGAACATCTTCTCGGATCAAAGCAGAATCCAAAAGGAGATTTAGTAAATGACTTTTTGATAACATTGGATTTTTAATAGCATTGACATAATGAATTGAGGATGGTGCAGATCGATATGGCAAGGGATAATCATCGTTATTTTGACCATGAAATTTTTTGTCGATGTCTACATCGTCAACATTTTTGCCCGTATCGCCAGTGGGTGAACCAAATAGAAATTCTGATGATGAAGAGCAACATGAAAATGAGCAGACAAGTACAAGAGCAATCAATGCTGACATATATATTCGTGTGGATGGTGATGAGCCTCTACAGCATAATATCAAAAGTGCCATATCTGAAATTAGATTAGATTATTTTGATACAATCAGTTGTTTTTAAGAAAGAAAAAAATATGATTATGTTGTCATTTTGAATACATCACTAGATACGATACGGTCGACCAGAGAAGTACTTGACATGTCCAACTTCAATTCGACTTATTGGCATAGAACTCGATATAGTGTGTATTTAAACGAGAACGTATCTAAAAGAATTCGATTTCATGACGTACTAACTCCGATTCATAATCGGTTTATTGACATCGTTAATAACATTGGAACCGAAGATTATGAGTAAATAATTGCATTTTTTGTCAAAAGTTTTTTCTTGCAAATATTCTATAATGATAAATGAAGGATAAATGTTTTCAAAAAGATTGTTAGCGCAGCCCCTTTGGGGCTAAAATGTGGAACTCACATATATCCCTTCGGTTTACTAAAATAATTCAAAATAGTTCCTCTGAAAAGTCTACCCTGATTTCCAAAACCTATAATTAGGTCATTGTCTATTTGCTTATATCTGTAATGGCGTCTTAATTGTTAGCTCGTATATTTATCAATGGCAGAGACTAGTTGTTATGGTCTGTAATGGTACTCTAAGCTAGTTACTATGGCCTGTGATTAAAAAAGCTAGAAATAGCAGTCTAATTAGTCAAGCTCCTAATTAGCACAATTTTAAACTCATTAATGCCTGTAATGGTGGGGGGGGGCGGTGGACAGCCTCAAAAATCTCGCTTTTAAACTTACTCTCACCATTTTCTTCGAAAATATATGTGAGTTCCACAAAAGATAAGTTCTCTCTAGATGAAATTTTCAGAACTAATTAATAGCAATAGAATCTATCTGTCGACGATATTTCAGACCAAAACACTCTTCATTCAAATTTTCTTTTGAATAGTTTACTTCTGAATAAAAGTGCCATTAAAACATCTATGACCCTTCGCGAGTACTTGTCGAGATCGATATTACTTAGCGTATTTCTTATTACTACCTACTCTATCGAACACGTATGAATGATTCAAAACAGAAACACACAAGCTGAATATTTTCTTCATCAGTCGATTTCCTACGTAGCATTAAAATCGAGCACGTTAAATAGTGCATTTATTGTTGTCTAGTAACACGAAAAGGAAACAGTAACTATTGTCCTTGCACAAAAAACACTTAGAAATTCCTTTAGTTTGTCAACATAAACTGCTTTTCTTTTCTTTTTGTTTGGGTACTTCAAAATTATAAAAATGGTGTAACAAAAGAAAGGATAAAATTTCAGTCACGGCTTCAATATAGGTCTTTGAATCATTTATTTTAATAGAACATTTTAGCATAACCATCTATTATTGTCTGTATATCTCATTTGCTTCATTGGCGTCTATATATATAATTAATTACACAGAAATATTTTTACACATAATAGAAGATAATACTTTTGTTTTTATCTACTAGGAGTCATTAGAAAAGAAACAGAAATGTATTCATTAGAAGAAAAAAAATACTTAGCAAGAATGATCAATATTATGTCATCGAGATGGTACTAAATACGTAACTGAATGAAAATAATAGATCATAGACATAGTTCCGTAGATTGAGAAACAAAAGATAAAAGTTGTTAAGAGCTATCAATTAATAATGCGTAGAGAAAGATTTTCAACATATGAATCTTACATGAAATAGATTTACTCTTTGAAATGATGAATACAAGAATTTTAAATAAAAGTTTGTTCGCATTCAATATAGTACATGATAATATTAATAGTTTTAGTTGAGAGAAACTTTATCAAAAGTACTTTTAGGAACAATGAAGACGCGTAGAACGTGAAAGTATCGGCAAATGTAATTGACCGTTCACTCCGAAACAATTATGTAGAAGAATTGAAGAATTCACAAGAGTGTAAATATTTTTAACAAAGTATTTATCGAAGAAACGCTAAATTTGTGAAAAAACAATCTACTATATAAACTATGTTGATTATCTGACTAATATGAAGTGTTATTTTTATAGTCATTAAAAACAACGTTTAACTTGCAGTGTTATTTTTAGCTACTGTTTTTTCTTGTAATTCTCAATGCTGTCAATCTTTCTTAATACAGTACACTGAAATTCTCTTAAATGACAATAAAAAACTTTTACAGATCTCATTCGTTGTGTTAACTTCATAATTATATCAATATATATATTATACATGGTTAGCATTCCTAGAATCGAAAGTAAAATACAACTATGAGTAAGGTGCCGCTAAAGCAGAATTGGAGTAAATTTTGTTTTTCGTTTATTCATGTATGGTTTGATAGAGCTTGAAAAGCTGATCACGAGTATATACTTTTTATTTCGATTTAGTTACTGTT